TAATATATATAATTTATATAAATAAATTATTTGATTTAATTGTTAATTTTTAAAAATATTTATTAAAATTTTGTATTTTTAAATTAAAAGTATAAAAAAATTAAAATTGATATTTATTATTTTCTTATTATTCTATATGATTAAATGAAAAATATAAAAATACGAAGATTTGCATAAATGTAATTAACAGGGTCTTTGACTTAGTGGCAACTGGCAAACATTCCAACCTTGAGGTGACAGGTTTCAACTTTTAATTTGGCCTTTTGATTTGGACTAATAATTTTGGGGTTTTTTTTGTAGTTTTCTTGTCATTATTTATTTTTTAATTAAATATAAAGGATAATGTTTAAACAAGTACAATATAAAGTCTAAGAGTTAAATTTACTAACATATAAGTTTTATTTTATAAGTTAATAATGGAGGATAAAGGATAAATAAGGCTAGGGGGCCAGTTGAAAAAAGATTAATATATATGCTAGTTATTGATAAAATTACTAAAATACCTATTTAAAAAAGCCCTAATTAATTTTAGCCCTGCTTGTTCACTTTTTCCTTTTTCTTGAAGTCTTTGGTAATTTTAAGGTTATTTTATTTTTGGATCATGATTGGTGCACGCACACTCGGATCCAACACTTAGGTGTGCACCCCTCCACATAAATAAATAAAAATGAGAACACCCTGTTAGGTTTTTTTTTTTTTTGGATAATTATACATACACCCAAACAATCAACACCCATTTCAACACTTAAAGTTAAAATGAAGAGAGGTAAATTTGTAATTTTACTGTTCATAAGCTTTGGGTGTTGAGATGGGTGTTGATTGTTTAGGTGTATGTATAATTGTCATTTTTTTTTATGTTGAGGTGTGCACACATCATTTTTCTTTATTTTTACATAAAATACAATAACGCAATTGGAAGTTCAAAGTTTATACAAGTTACCTTATAAGTACTCTGCTTTGCAATTTTAATTGTTGGGTTTTGAATTGGAGGCTAGTCACTTTAGAAAAAATTTTAGAGTTTTTTAAACATGCTTTAAGAGTAGAAATTAATAGTATAATAAATATACTTTTATATAATAAGTTTATGTTAAAAAAAGAGTTGACTTTCAATTATCAATTATTTAATTAAATTACTTAAGTGATAATAATACTAAAATTATGTTAATTTTTATATTTTTTATATAAATTTATGACAAAATAATAACCTTAACTTGAGGTACAGGTTACAAAATTCATAATTTGAAAGTTCTTTACAAGGGATGTGTATAATATGGTTTATGTTATATATCAGTTATATACATACAATGATTTTTTCAATTTTTTAACTTATAATAAGTTTTGGTAGATGATAATTATTTAGTGAAATTATATTAGGTATATTTCATATGAAAAATTGTTTATTAGTTTATACTTGTAAAAAATTAAGTGAAAAAATATTTTAAAATTATATCATTTTAATAAAATCTTATTAAAAAAAACTAAAACATTATATTTTTTATAGCATGAATGACACCATAATTTTTGGTATTTTTTATTTAATTTTTTTGTAAATCTGATTGATAAATACTAATCTTATTATATATTTATATTTATATTTACAAGTTTTAGGAAGGAAGTTTTTGTCCCCCTAAACATTTTGCTCAAACTCCGTCCTTATTATAGGTCAAACCTAAAGTTTAAATTTTGATACCAACATTCAAATAAAGTATCCAAAAATTAACCTAAAAACACCATAATAATAAATACAAAAAAAAAAAAAAAAAAAAAAAAAAAAAAAAAAAAAAAAAAAAAAAAAACCAACCACTTAAATTCATTACAACAAAATCCATGAAAAACCTTAAAAAAAAAAAAAAACCTGAAAAACCCAAAAAAGAGAGGAATAACTCATTTGCGAGTGTCGAATTTACAACCTTAAGAAGGTCCTTACCATGTTTAGAAGTCGTGCTCACAACTTTGGAAGCTATGTTGCGTCAACATCTAGAACCCTAAACATAAGGCCAAAATGAATAAATAATTGAAAAAACTCGTTTGTGAGACTCGAACTTAAAAGAGTTATGGGCGTTACCATATGTAAAAGTCAGGCTCATAACTCTCGCAGTCTCGCGGGCTCAACATCTAGAGTTCTACATCATTAAACATGAGGCCTTATTGCTTGTTCATTATTACTCTATCCCGCTCAACATTTAGAATATATTTATTAATAAATTTTATATATTATATTTATATACAATTTTAAATTATATATTTTTTATTTTTAGTAATTAAAATTTATTTATATTTATTAAAAATAATTATTTTTATAAAAAATTATAATAAATATCAATCATTAGAGAATATAAAAATAAATAATTAAAATTTTATATAAATATAATACATAAAATTTATATGTGAATGGAATTATACTTAATAAAAATACATTTGTATATTATAAGAAATTACAAAAGGTTTTTTGTACCCCTATTTTTTAGGTAGAGGTGAACATTATATTTATTATATTTATTATTATTTAGGGATTAGGGACATAAGAAACTAAAATATAGTTAAGTCTTAAGGAACAAGGTTCCTATGCTATCACCGTGGAGAATACTCCCAATACCCGTTGGAGGATTTGAAAAGAAGGTAGTGCCATGAGTAAGATATTGGCCAAGAGAGGCCATAAAATCAGCTACAGAGTTTCCTTCCCGCAAGGTATGTTGGACTGTACAAGCTGTGAAGGAGTTCAGTAAATGGACAAATCCAATAACAACACAGAAGTTAGACCATCTCTCAATTTCCTTGTCTAAATCATATGCACAGCCAAAAGGGAGTCCATTTCAAGAACCAAGTGAGAAATTCCCAGCTCAGAAGGTAACTGAAGACTAGTATGACAACCTCAAATCTCAGCCATATAACTAGATTAATTGTGGCCTAATGTTAATGGCAAAACCATACAACAATCGCCCTCCGTGATCACGGAGAAGCCCACCAACACTAGCCCTTCCCGTGGAATGATTCAGTGCCCTATCCGTGTTCAATTTCAAAAATGGAAATGTCAGTGGGACCCATTGTACCCATCTGGGAGAGCGAGTATGCCGTAGGATGTTTGCTTCCAATGCCATCTCTGTGTCAATTGCCAAGGAGGAAGCCTGCTAATAAAGAACATAGGGAGGGGTCTTTCTATTATCAAAGATGATCGCATTCCTGCTCTTCCAAATCACCCAAATAATAAATAAAAAAAGAGTAGACCAGTTATGAAATGGAGCACCATTAGACAAGGTAGCTTGCGCATTTGTCCTTAACCATTCATCAAAGTTCAGAGTGAAGAAATCATTTGGTAGGGCGGTCGAGGCTCACCAAATTAGACGAGAGTGAGGACAGTCTCTTAAGAGATGCAATGAGGTCTCTAGCTCTTGTTCACATCTTGGACATGCTGGTGTTGCTGCGAAATACCTTTCAAATCTCATAGGGTTTGTGAGCACCCAACCTTGCTGAAGAAGCCAAACAAACACCTTTATTTTCTCCAAGCATTTTAACTTCCATAACCACTTCCAGCTTCTCTCTTGGTGAAGCAATTTGTCCTGTTGTTGTTATAACAGACAAAAAGCAGATTTAACAAAGAACGTACCATCTTGCGAGCCATTCCAAAACACTCTATCCATTCATCGTCTATAGATTGGGATCGGTATTACTAAAATCTGCTCAACAACAGTATTAGGGAGGAGGTGCCTAAGTAAGGCCTCATTCCACTTACTAGAAGTAGAAAGGGTAATAGCATCAGAAACAAGAATATCCATAAGTGTTGGTAATACTGGCGAGAGAGCCTCTTCATGCAAAGGCTTAATTATCACCCACCCAAATGTCTTGCCAAAATTTTGCTTGTTGTCCATCACCAATCCTCCATCTCGAGAGCCTCTTCATGCAAAGGCTTATCACCCACCCAAATGTCTTGCCAAAATTTTGCTTGTTGTCCATCACCAATCCTCCATCTCAAATCTAATTGTAAAGTATTTCCGCACCTCATAATACTTTTCCATGTAGTTGAAGTAGTTTGGATGATTTGGCAGTTCATCAAGGAACCATTTTGCAAATATTTTGCTAGGAGAGCCTTACACCAAGGCTTATTAGGATTGGAGATTAACTGTCATCCCAACTTTGTGATCAAGGCCTGATTGTTTTCTCTAGTTGATCGGAGACCCAGACCTCCAATATCCCGTGGTTGGCATACAGTTTCCTAATTAACCAAAAGTGGTTTATTTACAACATCATAGCCCCATAGAAACCTTCGATTCATGCTGTCAATAGTTGTGCAAACACCTTTCGGTAGCAAGATTGATTGCATTATATATGTAGGGATCACAAAAGTTACAGATTGAACTAAAATTCTCCTCCCAGCCATGCTTAACAAATTTTTCTTCCAGCCAGCTAATTTAATTTGGATCTTTTCTACAATATGTTTACAAGTAGAAGCCAAAGGTCGCCCATGGAGTATAGGAACTCCCAAATAGCTACCTAAGTCCCTTGATAGTAGAATGCCCCAAGCATTGCTCAAAGCCCCAACAACATGACTTTGTATATTTAGCGAGACATATAACTTAGACTTCATCAAATTTAGTTCCAGCCCTGATTCATTTGAGAATTCTGTTAAGCCATCCATGACAACCCTCACCTGTTGTTGAGAAGCTTCACAAAAAAGCACAAGATCATCTGCAAAGAATAGATGTGAAAGTGCAAGCCCCCCTCTAGATATCTTAAATGGTCTCCAAAGCTTGGAATGTACCTTACTTTGTACCTTATGAGATAACTTCTTTATGACCATGATGAACAAATAGGGTGAAAGTGGATCACCTTGCTGGAGGCTTGTTTGTGGATTAAAATATGGCAATTCTTCACCATTCCAAAGGACTTAGAGCTGTAGGGAGGTCACTAAAAACATGATCAACCGTATCAAGGAAGCTGGTATATTGAAATCATGAAGCACATTTCATAGGAAAGACCAATCAACACTATCAAAAGCTTTGTGAAGGTCAATTTTGAATACAATGGCACCTCTCCTACCTCTCATCTTGCGCATGGAATGAGCTGCTTCTTGGGTCAAAATTATGTCATCCGTAGTACTCCTTCCTGCCAAGAAACTATTCTGGAATGGATCTATGAGTTGCTGTAAGAAAGGTTTCAACCTATTTACAAGCACTTTGGAAAGCACTTTATAGACAACATTTAGCAAGCAAATAGGACAGAATTTTTGAATAATGTCTGGATTATCTCCCTTTGGAATTAAAGCAATATGCGCCTTTAGTAGAGAAGGTTCAAAGGAACCCTCTTTCAGAGCATTGTTGATGAAAGATAACAAAGTACCTGAAACAACCTCCCAAGGTTTTTGATAAAAAATTGGTTGGATGCCATCTAGCCTTGGACTCTTTAAACCCTTCATGGAGAATAAGGCACATCTTACTTCCTCCAATAATACGGGTAGTAGTAAAGACTCACCATCCTTATCTTTTAGTTGCAGTTGATAGGTGGAGTAGTTCCCATTAATAGGCTGAGTGTCTTTCCTAGCAAACAATCCCACAAAAAAGTTGCTTTTGTGTTGCTTTAAAACAGAAGGCTCTCTTACCCAAGCATCATCAATCTTTAAAGCTGAGCTCCTGTTCCTACTTTTTCGAACTATCGTGAAGGCATGGTAGAAAGCTGTGTTCCTGTCACTAGAAGCAATTCACTCTGCGCGTGACTTCTGGCACCAGAATAACTCCTCTACACGCAGAACTTGTTGATATTCCCTCAATAACTCTACTTCTAGTTCCTATAAAAACCTGGATGTAGGAAAATAAATAGAATTTTGAATACCTTCTAGCCTACCTCTTAGCTACCTTTTCTTATGGACTAGATTTCTAAACACAACTTTGTTCCATTTCAGACAGGCATCTTGAACAAATTTAATGGCAAAGGTTATTGATGAGTTTTGTGAACACCATGCATTAGAAAAAACTTGCTTGAAAGCCTCATGTTTCAACCATGCAGCCTCAAATTGGATAGGTTTAGAGTTCCGATCACCTTAAACGGGGGCATCCAAGCAGAGCAACACAGGATGATGATCACTGCATAGCCTAGGAAGATTGATCACTTTAGCATTAGGAAGAGTGTCAAGTGCCATAAGATTAAGCAAAGCCCTGTCCAGCCGTTCTCTCAACAAAACTCTACCATTTTGTTTGCGCAACCAGGTATATTTACAGCCCAATGGCTATGTAAAATGCAAACCACAACTGGAGAGTCTATCTCTGAAGCGTTGTGTTTTTGCAAAACCTCTTGTTGCCCGTAGGGATGCTTTTTCCATCGTGAGTATGTCGTTAAAATCTCCCATTACCACCCAATTACAATGAATATGTTGAGCAAGACCATGAAGTTGGTCCCATAATAATTCTTTCGTCATGGCTGGGTGAGGTTGAACATAAGCGAAAGTTACTAAGCAACTAACCTGCTGGTGAGATATAGAACAGTGAATAAGTTGTGATGAGTTGTGTACAATCTCCAAGTTCACAACCATAGAGCACCAAAATAACTAGAAGTCACCTGCCATTCCCTGTGATGGGACTTGATAATCCTTGTCAAACCCAAATCTCATTAGGAATTTGAGTGCAGTTGAAGCGGAATTCGATTTGGTTTCTAGAAAATAGATGACATCTGGGTGATTCATCTTGATTAACTCTTTACACTCTCTTTGAAAGGCGCCATGTTGAACCCCTCTACTATTCCACGTTAAAATCTTCATTAAGAAGTTGTAAGATGTGAGGCAACTAAATTTTGGGTTGCCACCAGAGAAGATACTTTGCTAGCTTGCATCAATGTAGGATTAACCCCCAAGTCTTGGGCTGGATTTGGTTTCAGTAATGTATTATCTGCGCAAAGCATGATTGTAGTGGGAGACTCAACAGGGAGGCATGTTGAAAAGTTTTGGATTAAAGGCATCATCTTTGGTATAGAATCCATCTGCTACATTGGTAGTAAAGTATGTGAGGCAACTTGATCAACAGACATCGCAAGGGGTTTCCCTATCTATAACTTAATAGAAGGCCTTGACAGTTGTGAGTCTATTTGCTTCTTAAGCACTGGTGGCAGGTCATAAGGTTTTTGAGCAACAGTTTTGGTTTCTTTAGGGGCTGGCTCTAGAAACTTAGTCTTTTTCTTTGAGGACTTTGATTTGGGCTTAATAAAAGTGTTATTTGGGGTATGTGGTGAAATGGAAGGGAGGATAGCCTGCTTATTGGCCTCTTTTTGGATTGGGTTAGGTAATTAGGCTTCAACAATTTGAGGAGTAGCGGCATCCATCTCAACTGTACCATCTCTTAAGTTTGCCATATTTCTGTTGGGAAAAAATTGACGCGCGGAATAAATAATTCCTGTGAATAAAACACGTGAACAATAACAAAGAACGGTGAAACAGGCGGCTTAGCCGACCAATATAACGATTAGTGAAAAAAAGCGGCTTAGCCGACCAAGCAAAATAAAATGGGCGGTTCAACTTGCCACTTAAGAAATATAAATAAAATGGGTGGTTCAACCAGCCACTTAAGCGGGAAAAATAAACAAGCAAAATAACACCAAATTTTACGTGGAAAAACCCCCAAAAAACTATTGAGGGAAAAAAACCACGGGACAAACTCCGAAGAGTATTCCACTATATGATAAAATTGTGCAGAGTATACACTCAAGTATTTTTCTCTCTCTTGGTGTTTCCCACTCCCCCAGAATATGATCACAATCCTGATAAACTCACAATTTTATCACTCAATGTACTCTCTTTATGGAACACTCTTACACCTAAGCTTTTAATGCCTAGCTCTCACCCCCTTTTTTTCTTTTCCCCGGAGCCCTCTTTTTGCTCACTTTGGTGCTGCACTCTTTACTTCTTTTTTGCTTTCTTTTTGCCTTGCCATCGCATGGGTATTTATAGGGTAAAAAACCCAACTACCCCGGTGCAAATTTTCTACCTCATTAAATGAGGTTCATGTACAATGGTTGAAATAACCATT